ACATACATACACACACACATACACACATACACACATACATACATACATACATACATACATACATACATACGTACATACATACTGCGTACATACCTACTTAAATACCTACGTACATACATACAGACAGACAGACACCCAGAAGCACAAACAGTACCTACATAACAAACTGATACAGAAATACATACATTACGTACACACATACACACATACATATATAAATACATACATACATACATACATACATGCATGCATGCATACGTACATACATACATACATACATACATACATGCATACATACATACATACACCCACATACATACATACATACAGACAGACAGACAGACAGACAGATAGACAGTCATACATGCATACATACGTGCATACATAGCTGCAGACACGCATATTTGCATGCGTGCACACAGTGCAATACGACACAATACAGCACAGTACAACAATACAGTACAACTTAACATAGCATAACATACTCTACCATAACACAACAAAACAAGACATAACATAGCACAAGCGTGCATCACATAACAGTTGCATAACATTACATCGTTAAGTGACATACAAGCAGACAGACAGATATGTATCTACTTTTCTACACGGAGATAGATACATTGGATGGAGAGCTAGACAGATAGATTGTGACTTGCAGAATGAATAGGTATTTACACCCAAGTGGGCATGAACACCTGCAACTGCAACCTTACTTTGGCAGCAACGCTGATCTGGAGCATAGAACCCATCCACCGACGCAGCAATTGGTTCTTATGTGTGGTCCGACATGGTATCCTGCGATTTCCACAAACGCACTATCTTCAACCCAAAAGCAGCAATGTGCATGCAGCCGTGCCCCAAGGCAGGCCCTTCCAACCAAAGTTCCAATTTGCAAAAGCCAGGGATAAGGTGTAGAGCTCACTTGCGGGCCCCTTTCCGATTGCAGACCATTCGGCTATTGAACTCCCTGCACCAGGCGTAGGGTGTGTCTGGGCTTTGCTTTGCTTGGGGTGAGGGAAGCCCCGACCCGCGCACATTCACGCTTCCCCAAACAGATGGGCTGAGCTGTACCGTGGGTTCAACTTTGACCTGGGACTTGGGCGAGTGCGCCTGTCTGGTCCTTTCTCTCTCTCTCTCTCTCCCGGTCTCTCTCGCTCTCCGTGGCCCTTGTGAGGCTTGTTTCGGTCCAAGAGGCCCAAACAGGTCAGCGTCCGTCACCAGCGCTGTTTAGGTTCCGAATGCGTATTAATCGTAATCAGCATATCCCGAAACGGGGGCTCAGCAGACACAGACCGTTAAAGGGAGTGCCAGTGAGTTTAGGGCGTAGTGGAGCTGAAAAAGAAACAGGCTGCTCATCGAGGCCTCATACGACAGCCCGCTGAAGATACCATACCAAGCTCCAAGGTTTCCACATCCCAGACATTCCAATCTTCTCAAGTCTCCCTTCTTCCCAGCAACATGACAGAACCTCCACCACCAAATGCGGGACCCATCACCCTGGCCAAGGCCGGCGCTGGGTCGGGAAGAGCCAGCACCCTGCAGACTTTGCACTTGCTCTAAGAACGACTTTCGAAAGTTTGGGTGAGGTTGCAGGATTTAGGGTTTCAGCACTCACAGCTGAAACTTTGCGTTTACGCTCTGAAAATTTGGGTTTGGGTTTCGGCACTCACAACCCACTTCGGATTTTGCGCTCTCACAACTCGGCGCAGCCAGATGAAGTCTTTCTTTACCTCCTAAGGTCCTATACTTCGCAAGGACGAGCCTGCATGAGGTCTAGTTGCGGTTTCAAGTTTGGGGGTCCACATTTTTAGTGGCTGCAGTTTTGACCTTCCCATGGCTCCTGTCTACTGCGTACATCCGAACAGCCCAGCCCCATTAACTCTTTTCCGTTCAGCGTGCATGCAATCTTCGAGAAACACCCGCTCACTCACCCATTCACTCATTATAGTTACATACGTTCATGAAGACGGCACGTGGGCAAAACACACAGCCCCGAGCATTTCATACAGTTAAGGTTGCACGCAAATGTCCAAAGGTCTCCTGCGCACTTGCGCAGCCCCGTCGCCCCGGCGGCGCGCGGCGGCAAGGCCTGGAAGCGTCACCGAAGTCACGGCAAGCTCTCGAATGAAGCTTCAATTCACAACCTCCAGCCCACTCTGTAAATTGCACGGGGTAAGGAAGACATGGCGACGATCGTGATTTGTCAGCGTACTGTTGCTTACTCACAGATGGGCTTACACCAACCTACTGTAAGAGATTGGCGCGAGTTCACGCTAATCAATCTTGTCCGCTCCGCCTCGGCCTGATCATCAGTGTCGGCTTATTGCCGGCGGGTTTGTTGAGCTACACGCTGAGACATGCTCTGGAGGCAGGAGTCGGAACCAGCCACGTGACAACCTATCCGTGCGAGTTCTGCGGCGCTTGGTGACATGCGATATGCCAGCAGTCTGTCAAGCTTTTGCCATGTGTGTATACTTCCTGACTTACTGACCTACTTGTAGCTAAAATGCTCAGGTTGACTTCGCCCCAGGCCTTAAGCCACTATCGGGTTACTGCAAGAAGGGCGTTGTAGGGTTACTCCAAGGGTTGCGATAGGGCATTGTGGGTCATGACGGGGTTATTGTAGGTGAGCTTCTACATCCGACTTCAATGCCTGGGTAATGGATGTCTGCCGGCCTGCCGGCCTGTCTGCTCCGAGAGAAGGCGAGCAAAGCTCGGACAAAGGAACTAATTAAGCGGCTTAGAAGATAGTGCCAAGCATGCCCCGGACCGAGGCAGAGGCAGTAGCTGACCCTGTCCAGATCTAAAGCGATGGCCGCACTCAGCAGATCCTGTCACACCGAAAGGAGAAGTATCGGAGGTTACGAAAATCGGAGGCCCTGCGCGGATCGGAAAGGCTAGGACCGGTCATGTTCCCGCAGACAGTGTGGTAACATGTGACAGCACTGTGGGCTTCGTTATGGAATAGATTGCCCTGCAGGGTGATCTCGAAACATGGCACGGCTGTGATCTTCCACTTCCACTGCTCTCCCTCTATTTAAAATTTACTCTTTCGGGATGCCCAGATGTGCGCACGTGGTGAGAAAACACAAAGCCTCTGCACCTCTTCGGGATGGGGACGGACAATAAACTGGCCGATACCGTATGTAGCCTTTGACCCCTGTCCTGTGCCAGGTTCTCTGCAGCGCCGGCCTCGTCGTCGCTTTCAGCGGCGGCACCTCCAGGTGCGAACAGAGTCTCTAGGAACCTACAGAGTTGCCCCAACTGCCCGGATATCACCCAACCCGAACCCCAAAACGAGCAAGTCCCGAAACTAAAGCTGCTCCCTTTGATTCCAGAGCTAGCCAGAGTGGCCTGCCCGGCTGTCGGGCGTAAACCTTTCCGGCGCAAATCTCGCATCACAAGCATGCTCATAATCGGCAACACGGTGATTCAATACGAGACTGCTGGAGTGCAGCGGAAGGAAGAATGTTACAAGGTGGCATCCAGATCGTCCTGGTACACAGCTTCGTGGGGACTGTGAGGGACGCGCAACTGCATAGTTTGTCTCTAGTACCTTTTGGCCGATTGCCCGATCTTCCTCTGCGGTCAAGCATCAGTGAGCGCTGCAGCAGTGGAGGTCGTCTCGGAGGGTGTGCCTCTGGGATTGTCGTGGAGTGAAGGAAGGGGTTTACACACGTTACACTCCAGACTTCCCAAGACTGGGGAGCAAGGTAGGATCTGGTGTCAGCTGCCAAGCCGTGATGCTGCGACAGGTCGTCCTGCAACCTGCCTCCGCAAAGATCTCGGCTTGCCTAACTCCCGGAGACTGGTTGAAGCATGAGAATATCGGAATATCTGACATCAAGATGCCCTATGGCACTTCTGCAAAGAGCTCATCTACAATCTCGTGGACGCTGTGCTGGTGACACGACGGCGTCTGAGCTCTTGAACATCGCAGTATTAGTGTCTCAGTGTCGCTTCTGGCGCCTATGCTCCACGAACTCTGATCTCCTCAAAGCTTTGTGCAACCTTACAAGGTGGTTAACCATAAGCAAGGACAAGCGTAGCGGCTCAACAGCAGGCAGGCGGATCTCTGTCCACACGGGCATGGCATCAAAAGGCTGTAGAGTTTGATGTTCGCATGCTGTTGCCTTCCATTTATCTTGCGTGACCTTCGCCCCGTGTCTTCTTCCTAGCTTGAGCTCGGGGAAGCCTGTGCTGGGAGGTGTGAATGCTTTCCCTGTCCAGCCCAGCACTGCATCTCTGCATGTGTGCGTGGTTTTTTTGCGGTGCAAGGGTCGGGGCGGCTTGATGAAGGCACTGGGGCACCGGGCTGTGGGAAGTCACTAAGCTCCAGCCTGTTGTGCTACAGGCTAGATCCCAAGGCCGTACAAAGTGAATAAAGGGGCTTCTTTCTAGACGTCCGAGACCTTCTCCTTGTCCATGCACCCTGGGTCTCCATCCTCGGGCCAAAAACTTCGACTGGGAAGTCTGAGACATGGTACGACTTCAGGCAACAAGAGCTCTGGTGAGATCCTCGCTGCCACGAATGAGACTCTGTCCCAGAGTTGCTGCAACTTTGCACAAGCATGGACCAGCGCCGTGGTGGCTCTCGTCGACATGTGTCTCCCCTCCGGTCTCTGAGGTGCAAGGCAGAAACAACCCTTTTCAACACAGCCTGAGCGCGGGAAGACTGCGCATCTTCGCCGCGCCGGAAGAGGCCTCCCTTAAAAATCAGACGCCCTCGCCTCGGCGCCCTCTTGGCGCGAGCACATGGGAGTCACGGGCTGGTGAAGCCGTTGCTTGATGGGGCGCCTTCCAAACTGGGCGTATTTGTAGGGTAGCTGCTGGCAATAAGGGGAGTCGCCACTTTCTGGCTGTGGAAGATGCCCCAGGTGGAAAAATCAGGTGTCCGAAGCTCTCAGCTCTCCTTCACGCCGGCCTGGGCTTCGCAGGGGTCCGTGTCCACTCGGAGGGAAGTCAGGGAGACTCTCGGACAGGGCATTCATGGCAACTCCCCGGACGGGTTTTGGATCGTGGTCCGAAGACAGAACAAACCTCCGAAAGCACCTTCCTCGTACACGTCAACACGACGTCATCTACGCCTCATTGCCGGCACTCCTTCGCAATGCATGGCCCGGAACCTGACTGCCATGCATGGCTGGTAGTGCACACAGTGATGGTCAGGATGAACACCGGAATAAGTATCTTGTCCTTGCATCACCATCCATGTCATCATTTAAGGCCGTCTAACATCCAAACCTGCTTGTGGCCTACTCAGTGCCCATCTCGATAAACTGCCGCGTGAACGAACAACACGAACGTCCGGAGAGTAATGTCGAATTCGGGCCTTAAACATGGCTGCCAACAGTGGACTGTGAAGAGAAGACAGGATCTGCCGCCAAACCATGACGAGTTAGAGGTGCATGTCTTGGGGACGACGGCTGAAACCGCTCAGGCACGTGGGCTGCTTTGCGTCCACTTTGATGAAGTCGACCACCTAGCAGCAGCGGCACAGTATTCGCGAGGCATCCTGAACTCGAAGCTTCGCCCTACTTCGGGTTGCCTGCATCTGGTACCAAACAACTCACGTCGCAGCCCCTCTTCCCCCGTCCTTCAGACCTACGGTATGAAGAGCTTCCGAACGACGCTGACAGAGATCCGAATGTAAATGATCAGGATCCTTACGAGGATCCAATAGAAGCAAACAAAAAGACGTCGGTTTCAGAAGCCGTGCGAAGACGTGGAACGGCTCAGGGCCGCTTGTGGCTTTGGGAGAAAGACCATGAACCCTGCACATCCCCGCACCGGAAGTAGTTGCCTCGTTAGCAATCTCAATGCCAAACTCCACACCTGGGCAGTATGTCATGACGGCTTAACATCACCAGGAAAGAAGCGGAGAACAAGGCTTTAGGGCCACCAGGCAATGGAAGTTCCGAAATTGTTCCCAGGTTACACTTAGAGTCACTTAGAGTGCTAGAGCGTTCTTTGGGTTGTCATCCAAGGATGCTGTTGAGTTTCCGAGGCCCGACTTCGCAATCAGATCCAGCTACTCAGTGTCAGGCAGGCGTCAGGTCTCTATTACACTCTCACAACTCGGACTCAGCCAGACGAGGTCTCTCGGTTAGCGTTACACTTCGGGATCAGGTTTCTATTGAAATTTAGCTGTATCTTTGGTGATTGTGGGTGGATTTCAATGCCAACGATGCCGGTCACCTGACGATCGTGGAACTCGAAGAACAGCCCGAACCATGCAGGTAGGCAAGGCTTCACGACAACAGGTCTTTCTGGTGTGAAGGTGATGCTGAACCTTGCGCCCCCCCTCACCCCGCTGCAACTCGTCACAGAGCCAAGGTGCACCGGCCCAATGCAACCTGTGATTGCAGCTGTAGCAGAATGCTGCTGCAAAAAGTGTCTGATTGCCAGCGTAACAACTTCAACATGAAAAAATGCCTGCCTGGCCACATAAGTGCCTGCTTGGATGCATACATGAATACCTTCATTAATTCCATGCATGCATTATATGCATGCAAGCATCTATCCATCCGTCCAGCCATGCATGCATGCTTACATGCATGCACGCAGACCGCATATATTCCCACATTCCTACATACCTACATGCATACGCACATGCATACGCACATGCATACGCACATGCATACGCAGCAGGTATACATATATCAAGACGCAACATTGATGATCTTATGCTGCTGCATCTTGTTTTGGCTTCACTTCAGGGCAGGGGGCTTGACAGGTAGGGGGGTGGGGTTGAAGTGAGACGGCAGCTCTGCACCCTGACAGGGCGGGGAACACGACACAAGCAGGCCCAGCGATCGCAGGAACCCTGCGCCAAGCAAACATGCAATCCTTTGGCAGTCTTGACTCTCTTGAGCCAAGAATCACCACCCACATAGTTGCCTGCGAGGTACATTCCTGGGTCTCGTTGAGATACGAACTACCATGCAAGTCAGTGGCCAGAAACTGCTGCTATTCTTCGCATCTCTGAATGTAGGTAGAGTGCTGCGCCGTTAATATGCACATCCCTCGCACGGTTCCACAATCTGCAAACCCGAGGCAGCATGAAAACGGCTTCAGCATTATCGCTGTGGGCCAGCGCCCTTTCCAACCACGCTAAGTCTTGAATCGAACCCGCCATAGTTGCCAAGATGCCCTTCACGCCGGCATCGGCGAGGCTCTCTTTCACGTCTGCCAAGCGCTTGTTGTGGCCAATCTGCGAGCAACGCATACGGCCCGCGCGCTGACTCGTTTGCATTTGAATGTAGGCTCTGGCATAGGTAAAATAAGACGTACATATACGAGTGGCCGTACACTGCCTGCATTAACGCATTGGCATACGTGCATGCAGCATGGGACTTGCTTCGAAATACCTCTCACTGCCCATCCTTGAAAATTCCTTATACTAGCAGGCCGTGCTTCCTGTCAAAGCAGACTGCAGATGCCTCTTTCGTTGAACCGCATCTTACGAGCGGCCCAAAACCCCAGAGGCAACATCCGTCCAAACCGTGAAAACACTCACCGTCACTCACCTCCAACTGCGGGATCGCACGATCCCAGACGCGGACGCCCAATGCCGTGGGCAGGTTGTTGGCCTCGTCGCGGCCACGGGTCCATGCCATGCATGTCCCAGCACAGACTCAGATTTCCGTTTGGCTTACTTCTATGATGGCAATATTGACGGGTATACTCATTTCGGTCGCCACCAGTAATATCATCGTTCCCGCTTCCATGGCAAGCCATTCACAGCATCCATGTGAGCTTGGTTCAAAACTAACCGATGTAAAGCGGACGAAAACTCAACTTTTGAAGGAGCATAGAGGAAGAAAAAGGTTCTGACGGATGTACATTGGATAACCATCCCCTGAACCGTAAAGCCTCTAAGCTCTAAACCCCAAACATCCCCAAACCCATAGATCATAGACCCTCTTGGATGTAGCTCCCTTTCTTACTCGGCCTCGGTCGGGTGGAGCATGGTCTGCACAGTGTCGCGATGCGTCGCCTGCAGAGACTTACCTTCACATCTAGGGGAGGCGGGTTTTGGGGTTTGGGGCCTGGGGTCTAGGGCCTCTCGGGGTGCGGGGTTTGGAGATGTTTAGAGTTTAGAACCCTCAGCACTAGATCAACCCTCAAGCATCAAAGCCATCAAAGACTTAAAGTGTAGTGCTGAGTGTGACTCTTAGCTCGGTGGTCTCCGCTACACCGTCTTAGCCAAATTGATACCTACCTCAGTCATTGGGGCTTATGCAAGAAGCCGGTACGCAAGATAAGCTAGAGCACATATGTTTCGATAGCTACACCTCCCCTGCAGATGTTGTACTATACCGGCCTAGATCAGTGAAGCGCAAGGCTGGCAACAGTGGTTGTCAAAACTATGGTCCCTTTTTGGGTCCTTATTATAATACGGCACCTATTATTTAGGGTACCCCAAAAGGGGCCATAATTTTGACAACTACCCATGTAGACGGTTGTGCCCAGCTCATTGTCCGTGTGCAATCCCACACAGCAGGTTCTTTTGCTGTTCGCGGCGGCGGCCCGGGGTTGGAAAATCATGACAGCCGGTCGAACTCTCAACGTGCAGCAGATGTGGCGCTCGTTCGAAAACACAGTAGGCACACTGCACAACGTGACCGCTCTAGAAGCATTGCAGCCTTGCTGTCTACGCAGCCAGGGGACTTGGCAGCCACACTTTGCTTTCGATGATATAGGATGACTCATCGCGATGATGTTCCTTCCACAGTCCCTCTGCCTTTAAGTCAAGCGCTGCCATTAGCCTCTCTGCTCCTCTAGTCTGCCTCCGAGATATCACCATCATCGTCTGGGCGACCACCGCCTAGCGAAGCATAGACCTTCCACGATTGGGGTTGCACAACACCGTGCTGCCCTGGGTTTGCCCGGAAAGGAACTTAGCATCCAGGCTGAAATGCCCCAAGACCTCCTTCTTCTTAGCAGTATTACAATTACAATTATATCATGATTCTGACTGTTCATCTTGTTGTTGTTATTACTGTTCAACGTCATATTCTGAAGCTCCCAGTGGAAGGCAAGCTGACGATGGCGATGTCAATGACTATGAGTCGTTTTGAAACCTTTG